TGAACGATGACCTCCCCACTCACAAGACTGCCAGACTCGGCTGTGGCCACCGCATGTGCTACTCGTGTCTCAAGCGCCAATTCACCCTCTCCGTCAGCGACCCCCAACATATGCCCCCGACCTGCTGCAACGCCGAACACATACCCCTCAAATATGTCGAACGATTGTTTGACGACAAATTCAAGAGACTGTGGAACAAGAAATATCAAGAATACACAACCGCGAACCGACTATACTGCCCGACGAAGGGTTGTGGAGACTGGATCAAACCTTCAAAGATACGCATGGACTTGACTTATGGCAGGAAATACGCACGTTGCGGACGATGTAATACAAAGGTTTGCGTGCTGTGCAGCAGTAGATTCCACACAAAGCGCGAGTGTCCGAGGGATGAAGAGACGAACCGTTTGGTGCAGATGGCGAAGGAAAAGGGCTGGCAGAGATGCTACAACTGCAAGGCCGTGGTCGAGCTCAAGGAGGGCTGCAATCACATGACTTGGTAAGCCTGGCGCATCCTCGCATCATTCCCATACTTATGCATTGTAGCCGTTGTACAGCACAGTTCTGCATGGTATGCGCCGCCCCCTGGAAGACCTGCAACTGTCCCTGGTTCAACTACAACATGGACGAAGACGACCGTCTCAACGACATGCGCATGCCGTACAACAACGTCGTCGAAGTTATAGAAATGCCGCAGGCTGAAGCGCGTCCGCCGGTCCGCCGCAGTGCTAGCACACGAACACGACACCGCCCGAATCGCGATCTCGACCGCGCAGATGATGTGCTCGCTGGGCGTCGCCGGGAACAAGTTAGACTGGAGCCTACAGCTACAGCATCGGATCACCACCGCGCCGACCCTGGCGTTCATGTTTACGAGGTTGGAAATACAGGCGGGCATCATATGAATGATTCGTATGCTGTGCGGCCATTGGCAACTCCTGTTGCCAGACCCGCAGCCCGTACGTCGACACCGCGAATGTCTTTCTTTAGTCGATTTGTCCGCGAGCCCCAGCGTCAACCTCCTGCAGCTCCAGTCGCTCCTAGCGTGAAAGCATCGATCATGGCAGGTTTATCTCGTGATGGTACGAAACGCGGAGCGAATAGGGTGGGTACGTGGCTTAGCCATGTCGAGGTCGATAATGAAGCTATTGAGACTGCTGCGAAAGACGTAGAAGTTGATGATTGGAGAGTGGAAGGGTCTATGGTTGGAATCGATTGATTACCATAGGCCCATAAGATGTATTTACGAAAGCTACGTCCGGTTGGTGGTGTTGGTGCGACTTGAACATGATACCCAGGTAGTAATAAATAAGGTTGGATAATAAAGTATCTTCGCTCTAAGTAGACACAAACTTCAAGGCCTCGTCCCAAAAGCGAAGTGATGGATATCGGCGTTTTACGCCGGGGGTATATTTTAGCTCCAAACGTCCTAGCGCGATGTTGTGAAGGTGACATCATGCGCCGCCCAAGCTCCAACGTAGCTCTTCCCAAGCACTTGGAGTTCATCTCTACAAGCTCCAGCACTAAAGTATCAAAGCACACGTTAGTTCTGCAGCTAAGCTACGACATCCTGAATACAATACTGGTGATACTGCCTTCACGTCAAAGCCACCGAACCTTCGTACACTTCTCCCCACTTCACCATGTCTTTCCTCCGGCCGTCTACAATGTTGCGTCTCCGACCCGCCATCCCCACCGCCCCCCGCACATGCATGAAACTCCGTTACTCGACACAAGACTACGGATCTGGCGACGGGAACCCCGCTGGCGAAAACCCTCAAGCACAGGGTCGTGGGCGGGAAGACTTGGAGCATCCTGGACCGCCTCCGCCCAAGGTTGCGCAGAAGGGATCTTCTTCGTCGCCCAAGACTTCAGGCAAGAGCGATGCAGCCAGCCAGAAGAGCAGTGGCAAGGATAAGGGTGAGAGTGCAAAGGGTAAGCCTGAGCCCAAGATTCTGAACGAGAACCCTCCTAGCAAGGAGAACGAGAGCAAGGACGTGCGGAGTCACAACGAGGAGATGGACAACAGGGCTGAGAGGGCGCATGAACAGGTCAGCAATGAAGATGCGAAGAACGACAAGGTGCCGAGCAAGTTCTGGAGTGGTGAGTCTCCCTAGCCGTACTTGAAAGTGCTGTGCACATTATCGGGGAGGAGCTGACGCTGGTACAGGCCAGGGCGGACGGGACAATGACCCGTAGGTAAGTAGTGGAAAGCTTTGTACTTTATATTAAAATCATCAAAATACACCACTATGGCAGTACAACAAAACACAAGGCATAAAGCCCGACTCATGCTGCACACGTTTCGTGATGCTGATGGCGAGTAGTCTGTTCGTGATGACGTCAGCATGTCGCGATCCCCGCAAATTCGCGATGATGATGGGAATCTCGAAATGCCATTCTCGCTTGTGAAAATGCACAATTCGCCTTTTTTGCCTCCCCTCGTGCTGCTGCGCTACTCCTATTGTCGACAATAATGGGCGGTAGTGACAAGAGAAGCGCAATGACGCGTGCACTTCGATTGGCTTCTAGGCCAGATGTTCTTCTAGGTGGGAGGATGGCAAGCACAACACGGCTGGTGGCGCCCATTGGCTGCGGGGCAGACGCGACCTTGATTGTGCAGTTGCATACGTCACAAACACGCGCCTCTGAGACCTTTGTGCGTCCCCGCCAGTGCCCAGTCCCTCTTAAGACACGCTGCTCCGCTGTCCTTCCCACACTCCTGTCCTGACACCTAATCCACGATACCCACTCCCGCGTCTATTCAATCTATTCTATTGATTGTACAGTCCGACTCCCTACCGCACACAGGCACACGCAGATCGACCATGAAGTTCTCTGTCGCCTCCGCCCTCGTCGTGGGCCTCGCCGCCGTCGGAGAATGCAGCATCTGGGGAGGCAACGCCGGTAGGTCATGTGCATACGCCCTTTCCGTTCTTGCCGCGGGTCCTCTCAAAGTCCATTGAGACTGAACTGACGGCCGCAGTGTACAACAAGTGGCATGAGACCGAGCTGGAGCGCTGGCTCTCGGACAACAACGTCCCCTACCCCACTCCCGCGGACCGAAAAGACCTCGAGAGCCTTGTCAAAGCCAACTGGAATGACAAAGTCGTGACGCCCTACAATAGCTGGGATGCTCAGTCCCTCCAGAATTACCTGACCCTGAAGGGCGACCAGGCGAAGACGGGCACCGAGAAGGATGCAAAGTCGCTGGCTGAGCAGGTCAAGGTGTACTGGACCGAGACGGAAGAATCGACGAACAACGCCTATCTCAACATCAAGGACTGGTTCTTTGACTCGTACGTATCGCCGTCCGTGCGTTGGAAACATTTGCTAACAGACACGCAGGTGGACTGACTCGCAGCTCAAGGCTTTCGCCGACAAGCATAGCATTCCCGTTCCCCAGCCGCGTCAGCGTGACACTCTATTGAAGAGCGTCCGCGAAAACTACCAGTCCGTGGCCAACAAGCTCTCCGAAACTGCTGCATACCCCGGCAACTGGGTGTACGACTCGTGGTCTGACTCCGATTTGAAGTCGTGGTTCGACGAGCGCGGCTACCCCGTGCCCCAGCCCTCCACCCGCGACAGCTTGATTGCCAACATCCGCCGTAACTCTCGCCTGGCCAGTCTGAATCTTCAAGGTGCCTACGCTTCCGCTTCGTCTTCTGCCGTCGCCGCCAAGGAAAGCCTTAGCGACGCTCTTCTCAACTCTTGGTCCGACAGCCAGATCAAGGAATGGGCCGACAAGAACGGCATCAAGGTTCCCCAGGGCTCCAAGCGCAATGAGCTTTTGGCTCTCGCCCGCAAGCACCGCGCCCAGCTTACCGGCGACAACGTTTCGGCATCTGCCGACAGCGCCTACGGTGCTGCTACTTCCAATGCTGGCTCACAGTATGCCGAAGCTACCGAAGGTTTCGCTGGTTACACCAACTGGGTGAAGGCTCAGGTTGGTCTGGCCACGGGTCCTGAAGCCAGCGCCAGCCTCGCCAGCGCCTCCGCCCAGAGTGCTGCCTCCGGTGCATCCAATGCCGCCTCGAAGAGTGCCTCAAGCGCTTCTGCTTCCATCTCCAAGTCTGCCGCTGAAGCCTCCAAGTCAGGATCTTCCGCCGCCGCCGATGCTTCCAAGTCTGCCTCCAAGGCATACCAGTCTGTTGCTGCGTCCGCCAAGTCTGCTACTGACCGCGTCAAGGAGGAGTTGTAAATGACCTGATGATGAACAGCCGAAATATCAAGTCGAGCGGCATGCGTAAGAGCCACGGACGAGGCTCATTGATGAGGAGTTTTGCAAACACATTACGACCTTATGATGAAAAACGGATGGATGGGATGGAAAGCACGGGACACTGTACTTTAGTTTCAGCTCCAGATCGATATTCCCCGGATCAGGATGAATGAATATGCTTGATGCATAATGTCATGGGATGGGCGGTTTCCTATTTTCTACTCTTGACACCATTTCGCGACGGCGTCTACGTAGATTAGTAGTCCTACTTAACGTGGGCCTTGAATAATTGCATTATGGTTACTATTCAGACTTTAAATCCCAGCTCAATTGCTTTGTTTTCATGCTTCGTATTCAGACTTCTGTCCCACCAGTTTCACGCTCAACGTTGAGAGAGTGCAGTAGTTAGGGTGGTTGCTGAGCCTTGAGAGTGGGATTTTGAAGAAAAATGAAAACATAGGCAACCGTATAAGATATAATATCTAGTTAGCAGTAAATTGAAAAAAACCTCAATTCTTGCAGACTTTATCGTACGCCTTCTCTTCTCTCGATTCCGTTGTGGGTTGCCTAAGCCCTACTGGTCTTGAGCCCCAGTTTACATAGCATACCATCCCAAATCGGTGTTCGGCAAACCAACGGCCGCAAGCTCCATTATCCCTACCCCACCAGATACAATCCCCCTGGTAAGCTGCGTCATCCCCAATCGTGAAGCTTCCACGCCAGTTGGTGTCTCTACTATATATACCAGCTTAATCAACAAACTTTCATCAAATCACCAGGTGCTTTGGCGGAGTGGTTAACGCGCGGGCCTGCTATCTTGTATCATCGATACAATCTATTAAGCCCGTTCCTTCGGGAGCGCAGGTTCGAATCCTGCAGGCATCGATAGCAATTAATTTTTTGCATTTTTTTGGTACCCGGGTGCCGTCTTTTTTTGGGGGTCATGTTGTTATTTTTAAGTGGTAAGGGACGGGGTTTTTTATTTGTCGGGACTCGGAAAATGGAACACTACTATACCAGTGAAGTGGTCAATAATGTTTGCTGATTTTTTAACAATGTGTGAATTATATCTTCCAGTAGTTTTGGGTGTATTCAAAAGACTGAAGAGCATAACCGTTATAATTCTTCAAAAAATCGACATAGAATTCCCAAGTCTTCCCAGAATGACGTCCCTGATCCCGACGGAACGTGAAAAAATGCAATGAGAAGGCATTTTACGAATATTGTACAGTCTGTTGTTGAATTCGACCCCAACAATACAGCGTGGTCCCACCCACCGTCTATAAAATGTGACTTTCTTCTCCTTTCACACAACATCCCCATCTCTGTTTACACACTTCACCAGTACAAGACTTGATAGCCAAAGCAGACCAAAAGGTGACTATTACAACCTTCACCCACACATATGCTACCCAAGGCTAACTCAGCTCACAGCGCAAGACAAGTCCTCATACAACATTGTTCACGTACGACACGTAACATACCGACTACTACAAATTCCCTACGAAGCGCCAAAATGGTTTTCCCGACCACTAGCAGTCTCGGGAAACACGAACTCAGCGACCAAGACGATTCATCCCTACCTAGACAAATCTCACATATCTGGAATACCGACAACATGCCATGGTCGGACGAGGACTTTGTCGAGATGTATAGCAGTGTGCTTCATCCCCCGACTCCTGCACAAGCTCCGGGTCCGTTTGAGCAGCCAGCAGAGCATCCGCGTGAAGATACACCACTCACGTCCGGCGCTGTATCGTCCGGACCATCATCAGCAGCAGCGTCAGCAGCAGCATCAGAATCAGCATCAGAATCAGCATCAGAATCAGCATCATCACCGACACCACTCATACCATCATATCTCCAAACCCGACTCGACCGTCTCGTCCCCATCCTCGCCTCGATCAAGGAAAGTATCCAGAACCGGACCGCGCTCCTCAAAATCGCGCGCAAGCAACCCGGCTATTACGGTCTCTACGAGACGCACGGCCAAGCGTGGAAAACGCAAGCGAAGTGGGACGCGGGGATCTTCAAATCCATCAACACGGCGATCAACAAGGCGGAGCGGAACGCTACCATGGTCGCCGCGTCGATCGAGCAATGGGAAGAATTGGTCGCCGACTTGGAGAGCCGCACGTTGACCCAGGCTGATATCATGGACCGCATGGGGAGTGACACGATTACTGTTGTTCCTGGGGTGTTCAAGGAGGATTGGTCGTGGGATCAGCCAGAGGGAAGTGGACCGGGAATCGAGCATCCGGTTGATCCGCTTGATGCTGGTAATGTGAATACTGAGGTTGGGGAGGATGGGACGAATTATGTGGAGTTATATAAGGAGATTGCTGCGGAATGGTCGGATGTGGAAGCGGATTGAGCAGAATGGAATGGAGTGAGCATCTTGATGGTGGGATTGTTCTGGCGTTTTTTTTGATGGTACGTGGCTCATGTCTTGTTCGGTAGTAAAACCAATGCTGTTTAGAGTACGTGTAGGAGTTCGGATACAATTAGTACATATGAATGATGTTCAAGTTCTCTTTGGCTCCATTCGTGTCCGACTTAACAATGCTAGATGTCGAGTAGTAGATACCTGGAATGAAAACGATGAAGAAGCTTCTCATTAAACTTACACAATGCTGCCCAGTGCTACTTTCCATTATATCCAAAATTAACGTGCCGTGTGAATCCAAACCCTCAGTATCATTGAAATTGTCCAGAATCCATATCCATATCCATATCCTTTTCCAACCAGCATAACAATGCCTATCCTAAACGATGTCATAATGTTCCCACGTGCCGACCTGATGACCCAGCAGGCGCGTCTTCCTCCAATCAACGCCATAATTGTACGGTGCGAGAAGTGGCTCTTGGTCAATACCACAATTATCATCGCGAAGTCGTCCCGAGAACCAACCAAGCCCATAAGTCCGGCCCTTCCTTTCCAAATGTTTTGTCATTTGCGAGCTCGTGAGCTCCTCGGTGTCTACAAAGTTGACCAGCATCTTACTCTGATGGATGAAAGCGAGGACCGAGGCCATGGTGCCGATTTGACGCGGCATAAATTTGTGCGATCTCTTAAGGTAGATGATGATGGCGACGGTGATGAGAAAGAGGAGGATACCGATGGAAAGAACAAACGACGTCCAAAACGATCTGTAGGTCTGCTCCATGTTAGAAAGATCGGTAGGGTCATCGTCATCCCTGTTGTTGTCGCCACTGTGACCAGAAAAAAACTTCCTCCCGTCAACAGAAAGTCCAGATACACAAACAGTCAAAATTTCCGCAAGGATGGAGCCAAGACCGACCAGTGCGACGAGGTAGTGTTTGTTCATAAGAGCCTCGAAGGGGAGAAAGAGCAGGTTCGTTCCAGTATAGTCGAGTGTGAGTGTTTTCGCCGGTGCCTGTCCTCTGGCGAGGATGACGTATGGCTCAACCATCCTCACGTCACAGTTCAAAGTACTCCAGAGAACTTTGACGACCGTAGCTAGTGCTGTTAAAAGGAAAGGCAGATTCTCAGTGATCATCTCCGCGCCTTGGATGAACAAAAGCATCGGAAGCGCAATCGTGAAGAGCACCATATAGCAGACGTAAGGTATGCCGGCCGTGAGTCGGAGCATGAGAGGTCTAGGATCAGAACCAACATCAGAAACTTTTTCGGTGCTGTTGCGGATGTACTCTCCCTGCCAGAGAGAGCTCTTGTGTAAAGCATAACGTCGATGACGAAGCTGCTTATGGATCTTATCCAGAGGTGCGGTATCCAAACCGCGAAAATCTGCGAGAATATGAGACTTTGTAGCCATGGCTGCTAGCCCTGCTATCCCTTTTGGGTTGCTGAGGAGACCGCTCTTCCGGCGCATCGCGTGAATGAGCATTCCACCGGTTATAGCGACAAACACCAGAGAGCCGGATACACCACGTGACCACAACGGGGTAATACGTATAGACTTTTTGCTGTTGGCAAGTCGTAATTTCACCGGTGGGTACATTTCGACAGACGCAGACTGCAAAACCGGTACTAGACTGCTAGATACGAGAGTAGCCAAAGAAACATAGATGACAGCGTATTGTTTATGTCGCAGGGCTCGTAGAGGGACTAACCAACTCATAAAGGTAAGGTAGTCCATATTCAGAGACTCGGCTGCCGTTGCTCCTTTCTCTTTGGATAACTGGTAGAACGGTTCTAGCCGCTTGACTTCGAAGTCGGTCATTTGCCAAAGGATACCGTAGATGACAAAGAGGAGAACGGGGGCGTATTTCCAAGTGAAGAATGCGAGAGCGCTCAGCTCTGAAGCTTTCTCGAATTGAATAAGTCCCCCACCATCCTTTGCTTTTTCCATGGACAATTGGCAGAGACATTCTTGGAGGACCGCCAATAGTAATGCAACAACGACGAGGAACGTAAGCCACGGCCAACCCATGGAGAAAGGGCGCCAAGAAGGCTTGTCGGGGTCGGGCGGGAAGACATAGCTTTTTTGTGGATCGCCACTGTCTGTGCGAGTTGCGGTTAGTACGTTGCGGGTCTCAAAGTCGCTGTCTTCCGTCAAGCCACTGATATCGACTGGAATCTCTGCGACTGCCACAATGTCGCCCGTTTTCTCGGCCTCCTCTTGTGCATCCTTGATGGTAGCTATCATTGGATCTGTGCCAGAGAGCCGTCTTTGATGTCCACGCCCTGTAGTCACTTCGGGCAAGGTGGCCTGCCCGGTAAAAGGCACTTCCACGATGGACGCCATACCGGCTCCTAATTTCGATTCGAGTTGTTCGTACTCGGCAGCGTACCCGGCTTCGTTGAGATGGCGCTCCTGCTCTCTGGCATCCCCGGAACACGCCAGCTTCTTTGGCGCGTTGAGCCTTTGCATAGGCAGTCCCCCATCAAACCCGCTCAGATCGTATCCTACCTGCTCATCCACTTCTTCGACATTTCTGAGTCGACCGCTCCCCAGCAGAGACTCCTCATCCTCCAACTTGTTGTGCTCCCCGCCTCTTGATCGTGGATTTCGAAGCGAGCTCAGTCGACTTATCAGGCGCTTTGTACCGCTACGGCTCTTCAAAGGCGTATGCACGCCACTTGGACTAAAAGTGTTAGGAGTAGAGTGGTAAGAGGTATCTGCTTCGGAAAAAGAAGGGGGCGCTGGGGCGCGAGGTATGCGATACGACGGTTCGGCAGCTGGCGAAAGGGGAGAAGGGTAGGATGTGCGACGCGAAAGCGAGGGGGTTTCGAGAGGGCTGATGGAGGCGACCGAAAGGGGACGAGATGGAAAGAGCTGTGAGAGTCTGTCCGACTCTGAGGTGTTCTTTCGAGTGAGGGTTGGCCTTCTTGTTGTGGCAGGCGAGCCCACCCGGAGCGGAGAGGGTACCTCCTCCATGCCTCCAACGCTCGGATACTTCGATGGGCTTGATCAAGAGCTGTACAGGTTGGGAGGGGTACCTCGAACTTGTTGCCTCGGCGCTTGGTGGGGTAGTGCGTGTTCTAGCGCGCTCGACATGGACGAGAGGAAAGGAAAGAGGGAGAACACGGGCAAACAGCTTTCAGCCATCGCTTCGCGCAAAGAGGTTAGAGCAGCTCGTGAAGCCTACTAAAGATACGACATCTGGACGACGCCTCATTGTTTCCTATCGGTTATCGTTGCCCTGTTGGTCGAAAAGGGTACGGTCGATTTTGGGGGCTGAAAACCGCCAAGGGCGTCAATGTGGCCCGACAGAACGGTGCGACTTGGTGACACGGCGCAAGCCACGGGAAGCGTAACTCAGAGAGGAAGACATGTGAGGTGGGGGAGGTATGGAGAAGCTTTGGAGATTCGCATCGTCTCCACTCGATCGGCGCAGGGATAGCCGCGCACTCTTGTCGAAAAGCATATCGGCAAAGGAATCGCTTAGTGGTAGCAGAC